CACACTTGGTCTCTCAAGTCATCCGCTTGGCTTATACTTCCAAGTGTACTTTCCTTACTGCCCTAAAGCTTTTTATAAACTTTTACTCCTGCACTAAAACTTGCCTCAGTCTCTCCTTCTGCCTTATGGCCCTCAGTTGAATTCTTTCTTCTGAGGAGGCAAGAATTGAAGTTGCTGCAGACCCGTATGGATAACTACCACTGGCAACAAAAGTACTCATTCCTAAGCCAGGAATTGAACCCTGGCCACCACCACTGTGAAAAGACTGAGCCTTATCACAGCATTGAGCAGTTTCTATTGCTCTTCCCAGAAGGAGTCCAGAGCAGTCAATTTTGAACTTCAAATGGCTTTTTCTTTTTTTGAGACAGAGTTTCACTCTTGTTGCCCAGGCTGGAGTGCAATGGCGCGAACTCGGCTCACCGCAACTTCCACCTCCTGGGTTCAAGCGATTCTCCTGCCTCAGCCTCCCAAGTAGCTGGGATTACAGGCATGCACCACCATGCTCAGCTAATTTTGTATTTTTAGTAGAGACGGGGTTTCTCCATGTTGGTCAGGCTGGTCTCGAACTCCTGACCTCGGGTGATCCGCCTGCCTCGGCCTCCCAAAGTGCTGGGATTAGAGGCGTGAGCCACCACGCCCGGCTCAAATGGCTTTTAACTGCTCAAAATAATTTTTAGAGCTAACTGTGACATGAACTCCAAAATTCCTGTTCCCTGGATGGTGGAGACCAAGAGAAAGTATCGCTATGTGGTCAGGCTCCCACGGACATTAAACAAGAAGAGAGGGAAACCTCATCCAGCTTTCTCTGTTTCAGGGATCTTCAGCAAAGTTTGCAACTGACACGTTTGCCAGAATGGCTTGAACAGTGAGCTTAAGGGGGTCCTAGGCCTACATTCTATTTTATTGTACCCTTTTTTATGACAGAACAGTGCAGAAAGACAAACTTGTAGGACAAAGTACACCAGATTTGCTACAGCTTAAGACTAGCCTCATGAATCCTTTTACTTATTAATTAAAACTTTGCAGGCCGGGCATGATGGCTCACGCCTGTAACGCCAGCACTTTGGGAGGCCGAGGCGGGCAGATTACCTGAGGTCAGGAGTTTGAGACTAGCCTGGCAAACATAGTAAAACCTCATCCCTACTAAAAATACAAAAATTGGGCTGGGTATGGTGGCTCACATCTGTAATCCCAGCACCTTTAGGAAGCTGAGGCAGGCAGATCACTTGAGGACAGGAGTTTGAGACCAGCCTGGCCAACATGATGAGACCCTGTCTCTACTAAAACTGCAAAAATTAGCCAGGCAGGGTGGTGTGCACCTGTAATCCTAGCTACTCGGGAGGTTGAGGCAGGAGAATCGCTTGAACCTGGGAGGTGGAGGTTGCAGTGAGCTGAGATTGTGCCACTGCACTCCAGCCTGGGCAACAAGACAAGCAAAGGGATAAAACACAAAAATCCCTACAAATTTCCATAAGCAAATTTTACACCCCCTGCAATACTGCCATTTACTACCTGTTTCTTTCTGATCTAGTCAGATGTAAGAGGCCTCTAACTAGATCCAAGCCAGTTAATCAGTTCATTACTGAATCCAATCTTGTCCTGGACCCAGTTTGGTTTCTGTCATGATTTCCAAACCAAGTTTAAATAAGAAATTTGCTCAACGAAACTCAGACAGCTCAAAATACAAATCCATGGTGCTTCAGAATCTGAGCGATAACTTACCCATGATCTTTGCTTGGTCACTCAGCGCTCCTGGGCCTTGTGAGAAGGTCTACTTCGGATCCCACTTCTGACACCATGTGATAAAAGAAAAACTTCAGCCAAGTTAAATCTAAAAGACTTTAATTGAGCAGTGAATAATTCATGAATGGGGCAGCCTTCTGAGCCAGAGTAGGCTCAGAGACTCCAGCACAGCCACGTAGTGGAAGATTTATGGACAGAAAAAGTAAAGTAACATATGGAAAATGAAAGTGAGGTACAGAAACAGCTGCATTAGTTACAGCTTGGCATTTGCCTGATTTGAACATTTGGCCACATTTGATTGGCCCAAACTTGGTGATTGGCAGAAGAGTAGACTACAGTTTGTTTATACTTCCATTTAGGTTATAGTTCATGATGAACAGAGAAACCTTAGGCCAAATTTAAAATATGTAAGGAGGCAGCTGTAGGCTAAACTTGATTCAACAAGGGAGAAAATTTAAGATTATGTCACACAAAGAGAAAGAAGGGCCTGGACACCTATAGTCCCAACACTCTGGGAGGCCAAGGCAGGGGGATTGTTTGAGCCCAGGAGTTTGAGACCAATCTGAGCAACACAGGGAAAACCCATCTCTACAAACAAAAAAAATTTTTAATAAAATTTTAGGCCTGATGAAGTGGCTCACACCTGTAATCCTAGCACTTTGGGAGGCCGAGGCGGGTGGACCAACTGAGGTCAGGAGTTTGAGACCAGCCTGGCTAACATGGTCAAGCTCCATCTCTACCAAAAATACAAAAATCAGGCCAGGCGTGGTGGCTCACATCTTTAATCCCAGCACTTTGGGAGGCTGAGGCAGGCAAATCACCTGAGGTCAGGAGTTTGAGACCAGCCTGACCAACACGGTGAAACCCGGTCTCTACTAAATACAAAAAATTAGCTGGGAGTGGTGTCACATGTCTGTAATCCCGGCTGCTTGGGAGGCTGAGGCAGGAGAATAGCTTGAACCCGGGAAGCAGAGGTTGCAGTGAGCCAAGATAGCGTCATTGTACTCCAGCCTGGGCAACAAGAGCAAAACTCTGCCTCGGAAAAAAAAAAATATATATCACTTAACAATAGGAGCAGGTGAATGAGTAAAAGCACCCCTTGATGCCTCTCTCTCACTCACATACCTCATCCAATCAGTCAGCCTCAGCTTCCAAATAATCTAACCTGACCACCATTCACACCTCCAGGCTATCACCTTCATCTAAGCCACTAGCATCACCTGGCTGGCTGCACATCTCCTCTTTGGTCTCTCTGC